ATGGCCAGAAGTCACTGGCCATGATTAACAGCAATAAACATTTATTAAGCTTCAACAATGGGTCAGATGCTATACTAGTGACACTTTTAAAAGAAGAGAGTCACCCAAAACACACACCCAGTTAGATTCCCCACTTCTCATCTCTAAGAGGACTGTATCTATTCAACCACTTGCAGCATCTGTTCACATGAAAGAGAATCTATACCTATTCAGTTGATAACTATCGTGTTCTTGAAAAGATGACATAGAAGAGTCAGCTTTGTATCTAGGGATCAACTGAGGATTAGTAATCTGGGTGGGCAATTCAAAAGAGGTTGAAGTAAGGGCTCTGGCTAGGAGCTTATAGGTCAGGAAGGTAATATTAGAGAGGGAAGGGAGTATAACAAAGTATGACTTGATTTGATCTGGGGAAGAGGAAGGAAAGACCAATCCTATGCAAAAGTATGAAAATAATGTATCCTTAGTGTCTGCCACTCTACTTTGCATTTTCTTTGGCTCCATGGAAGCAGTAATTTCATTTCATTTACCTCATGTAACTAGTGCTTCTCTAATCACCCACTAAGGAAATTTGTTCTTGAACAGGATATAGCTATATTTAATGTAATGTGTAATGTACAGCTCTTCAGATGTCACCCTATTTTCTCGGTGCTTGAGAAGAGTCAGCTAAAAGGTAAGAATGGAGGTACTGGGTAAATAGCACCCACTGATCTGCCACCACGAGGTCTGCCTTTGCTCTTCTCTTATAGAAACGAAAGTGCTTAACTTCACTCTGCATGTCCCATTCTCCTTTTGGGGCAATTGGAATCATGAGAAGATGAAATAAGCAAGAGCCAACTGCTCAAAGAAAAAATAGGAGGAAACTAAATTTTACATGTTTGATTTTATTTTCTTCTCTGGTTATTTCAATTTTATCCCTGACTTTTCAGGGTGCAGGGGGCTCTCTTAGGCTGATTTTGCAACTGGTCACCGTAAGCTCTTAAAAGCAAACCACAAATGAAGCTACCAATGATTCAGGACCTGCATCTCTCCCCAAGCCCACACTCCAACCTGCTAAAACTCATTATATGCTCCTGGTTCTGAATTCTTAATTCCACATGTTAACTTCATACCTTCCTTCAAACTTCACCCACATTGCTCTCTGTGTTGGTAATAGACTCTTAACATTTCAGATACTGGTGATTCTCCACTGTTTTTGGTCTTAACTGTTGATAGCAGTTCCTCTGCTTGGAACATTGTCCTACTCCCATCTTTTTTTCTTTTTTTCAAGACTGAGTCTTGCTCTGTTGCCTCTGCTGGAGTGTGGACCACAGACATACTCCACCACATCTGGCTAATTTTTGTATTTTTAGTAGAGACGGCGTTTCATCATGTTGCTCAGGCTTGTCTCAAACTCCTGAGTGCACAGGTGATCCCCCACCAAGCCTCCCAAAGTGCTGCAATTACAGGTGTGAGCCACCACACCCTGCCATTCCCCCTATCTTTTAAAGTCTCATTTATCCTTCAAGACCTAGTTCAAATACAACTTTTTCATTGACACCTGTTATAATCCACAGGTCAGAATAAATTTTTCCCTTTGTGCTAATGTAGGCATTCAGTTTACACTTTTCATCACTTCTCATGGTATCAGTCTTAAGAGTTAGTTATATATATATATATATATGTGTCCATCAGTGGTTTAAAGAACACACACACAACAAGCCTTTTGATTATTTTTTTTATCATCTGATTGTGGTGATGCCCACAAGTAGCTGGCTTTGTAGCACTCTCCATAATTTCTTCACTGCTCTCCATTCTAACCCTGTCAATTTATAATCTAAATAAAAAGCACAACTGTTATGCAAAAACTGCCAAAACTAGTCTTCTAATCTACTTTCCCACCAGATTGCAACCAATAAGCATAACTCATATGAATATTTTGGAGTCACTTCTAACCTTAGTGCTTTCATCATAATAAATATTAAAGATTTAAATTATATTTTATTGAAGCAAAAAGCTATTCAATTTCTCTTTAAACCTTCCCTTTGGCCCATAACTAATCATCCCACTAGTTAGATGACAAGTTGTTAAAAAGTATGGCTTTTCAGTAACAAAAGTTAATGCAAGATAGTAGATTGAGATTATGTGTAAATATAGAATTTGATTTAATTTGGGTATATTAATGTAAAACATAGTTCATTTATATGCATATCTAAATAATTGCAGAAAATTTAATTATTACTCATGAATAAACAGAATATAGATCATCTATAAAGGAATTACAAAGGTCATGTTTTTAAAAATAGCACATTCATAATCAAGATAATTGGCTCTGTGGCAAGACTCATTGCTGTCTTTCTACAGAACTACTACTATAGGATCATAATCAAATTTATCAGCTGATTTCCAGCTGCAGAGTTTATGTTTCTTATAAATATATGAGAAGGAAAAGGAGCATAACCTAATTTTCAAGCCCCAGGTTGAGACCATAGTGCTGGCTAGAAAATGATAAACTAACGTTTTAGGTGCGTTCATTTATTCTTAGAAATAATAGATACAACGCTGATAATTATGTTTTCTGATACATTTCAGCCATCAACCAAAGCACCAAAAGGTAGACATAATGTTACAGAAAAATTGTTCCTGCCTACCAACAGATAATGTATATAGTTGTCTAAAATAATCTCACTAGACCAGTATATATTATAAAGTTACAGATTCTTATTCAGTATAAAGCCAAAAAATGTCATATCAGAATTTTAAATTTAATGATTTAATCATCTATTTTTGCTGGTACTGTCATATATACTTTTTCTAAAAGCTGAAATGTATCTTATCACAGTGAAAGACAAAATTTTCCAGTAAATGTCCACATGGGGGATTATATTATTTTTTAAATTTTAATTGTAGTCTAGAATTGAAGGCTGTTACATTATTTGTTCACTTTTTAAACTTCATGCTTTTAAAAATGAAACAATAATAATGTTTGATGTTTAAGCATGTAGACGCAAGACACAGCATTTAAGAACATCAATGTCTGTGCCTACTATGCCTTACTAGCTGAATATTCTACTGTTGTTCAATAACAGGATGATTTGGTTATGTTGACTTCCTCAGATTCCTGAATATTCCAATAACAATGCTTTTCACTTACTGATATCACATATCAGTCACTGTACCAAACATCATACATACTTTAAGAAAATCTGCATCCTAGAATGGTTTAGACATGCAAACTTTTGGGTTCAAATACATATCAACCACTTAGTAGTTATATGACCTTGGCACACTACTCAGACATCCTTGTGCCTCTTTTTCCTTGCGTAGGACTTGGTGATAATAATAGTACTTAACACACGGAAGTACTATGAGCAGGAAATTAGTTAATATATGAATAATGTTAGGCAAACTACAAGTACTCCATAATTGTTAATTTTTTTTTCAGTCCTAGTTTTGTCACCAAATAATGTGAAACATAATAAGACAAGTCATTTACTCTCTCTGTCAAATGTTTACATCACCTTCCTTAACTAGGTACTAAGGTTGCTATAAATGCAAAGTTTAAAAATATTAGTAATTTACATATTAGTTTAGAAGGATCATTTTTGTGTAATTGATTAACCTCAACAGAAATGGAGCAAATGGAATTAAAGATGTGCTGAATGTAAGTATAATGGTAAACGGGAGAATGAATAAGGGAAAAAAAAGAAGGGGCAGGGTGAGGTGGCTCACACTGGAATCCCAGAACTTTGGGAGTCTGAGGCAGTAGGATCACCTGAGGTCAGGAGTTCCAGACCAGCCTGGCCAACATGGTGAAACCTCGTCTCTACTAAAATTACAAAAATTAGTCCGGCATGGTGGCACATGCCTGTAATCCCAGCTACTTGGGAGGCTGAGGCAGAAGAATCTCTTGAAACCAGGAGGTGGAAGTTGTAGTGAACCTAGATCATGCCACTGCACTCCACCCTGGGTGACAGACCAAGACACTGTCTCCAATAAATAAATAAATAAGATTTTAAAATTTTTAAAAAGAGAAGAAAATAAAATAAACCAAAATGCTGTCCATTCCTGAGTTGGGAATTCTATGCATGCTTAACAGAATATCTGACATGCACAGACCAAAACCAACAATGTTTATAAAGTACAGAAACCTGAAAACATAGAAAATATAACAGAGCAATTGATTTAGAAAATGCCACATGATAAATGCTCCACAAAGGTTAGTTATTCTAGATAAACACAGCTTTGGGACAAAATTTCAATGTCTATATGTTTATCTCCAGTTTACTAATTGGAATATAGAAGTTCTAAAAAGTAAATTGCTCAAGGTCCACAGCATAACTAGAACGATGTAAAAGCTAGAATTCAAACCCAAGTTCTCTGCTGATAGAGCCTGTGTTCTTTCTAAGAATATTAACTGCCTCTCAATTCCATGAAATTACATTATGTAATATGCCTCAGGCAATGGCAGAAACTTAGGCTGAAATAACCAACACTCCTTGCCAAACACTTCAGAAAGATTATGTTTCTTCTCCGTTAAAGAAGTGGAACATATGGTTCAGGTGGGCAGACAAATAAGTGGTAATGGTTTCATCAATATCGTAAAGGAAGAAGTTGAATAATTAATTGACACTAGAAAAACATTAACAATGCCGGAGTGAGAAGGACTGATACAATGATCTATATGTCTCTAAATACTCAGGTAGGTAAATGTTATTTTACATTGTGCTATGTCGTATATGCTGAACTGTATAGGGAATTTCAAGTATAGTTTTGCCATATACAATTTTAGTCTCTTATATTGGCTTCTTACAACCTCAAATTACACTTTGCAACCACTGATGATGGGCAAATTTAATTTATTCCCCTTACATGACACCCTGCTTCTTATATTTCCTATATAAGTGAAGGCAGACTAACTGTTATAGTCCACAAGTGTCAAAATATCAGTAGCTGACCACAGTAACCATTGATTCTCATTCAAAAATGCCTGAAATGGGTTTTTTAGTAGGTGGTTGACTCACCTTCAAGTTGTGACTCAGGGATCAGCTCCTCTTTCATATTGTGAGTGTTGTCTACCATCTTCATCTAAGATCTGTGGATCATCTGCAATAAGGGGGAAAGACAGGGAAAAATCACACATGAGAAATTTTATAGGTCTGGCCTAGAAATCTGCAGACCTGATAGCATTTCTACTATAGCTATAGTGTACATTATATGCATTACAATGTATATACAATATACATTCTTTTGGGTAGAACTCAGTCACATGATTGCACCTGTTTACACTGGAGGATGAGAAAGGTAGTCTGCCTCTGTGCACAGGAAGATTTGGTGATAAACCAGGCAGTCTAAGACATAGCCTCTCTACTGAAGATAATGTCACTTCTAGATTTCCACATATTCAAATGTCTTAAGGACCTCTCCAAATGCATCCTTCCCAAGAAGTGTTCTGGGATCCCTCAACACAGATGTGATTTCTGCCTCATGTGAAGTATTACGCAAGATTGTAGGGTTTACATTGTTCTTAAGGAACTTACCCTAAAGGCAAATTACAGAGCTTAAGGATGTGATTCAACGGCCAAAATTGTGAGTTCAAATGCCAATATATTTACTTACTAACTTCATGACCTCGCAAAGTTGCTTCAACGTTCTGTGACTTTGTTTCCTTGTCTATCAAACAATGCGTACCTCAATGTCTGCTTAAAAGTTTTGATTGGCATAACATATATAAAGCATGTAGAAGACTGCCTGGAACAGGTGAGTGCTCAAAAAGTGTTATCCATTATCTTAAACCTGCCATTTATTATCCATTTACTTTTCTCATTTCTTATATTAAGCCATAAACCTCCTCAGGGCCAAGATCATGCCTTACTCATTTTCCCATGTTATGTATTTCCTCTGTAGTACTTGAGGAATGTTAGGCAATCAAATAATTAGTGGGTTGAGACAAGTAATTTCTTTCTTAGTTCCTTGTAAAAATTTTAAGTGCCCTGTCTTATTTTATATAATGAAAAAAATCAGGACAAAATTCATAGTGATGTTTCATACTCAGTTGCAAAATATTAAAACGTATGTATTCATAATTTTCCCCATTACTTCACATAGTTTAGTACATAAACGTCCACCTAAATGTATAGGGTGGTATTTATGATTGAGTTTTACCCTGTGTGCCCTTTATATTAATGTAAACTCTTGAACAGTGACCAAAAATCATTACAGCTTGATGTCTGTTCAGTGGCTGGAATGAAATGAATTGGTCTCAGTCCAATTCCTAGTGGGCAAGTGTCTAAATCAAAAAACACCACCACAATTAGCATTACTTTACTTAATAGTTTTAACCACCGAGGTCAAGGATAAAATGAATAATAAAATTTGAACTAACCTTGCAACACAAGTTGTAACTTTTTCCAAAATGGGGCTTGGATTAAGTTAAAAAGAATGCCTGATAACTTACAGAATCAATTACAGAATAGAAGGAAGACAGGAACTCCAGTGACGATGTGATTTTATACATCCTAATAAAATTATAATCACATAATTTTACAAAACGGAATTTTCTATAATAGTCTTTACTTTTCACAAATAGCCTCAAAATGTTTTCTTCATGAAAAAATAAATTCCTACCAAATCTTAAAAGAATGTTTAACTTACTATCAATTTTTGCAAATAAAGTCGATAATTTAATTATAAGCATATTCATTTCATCCTCAAATCATATGTAGAAGACATATAGATAAATTTCTAAAAGCAAGAAGAAACACAAATATTCCCTAGGGTCTTTCACAGAAAGGCAGAAGAAACATCTTTGAATTCATAGAATTTCACTGAAGGACTTAATATTACGAAGCCAAAAAGTCTTTCTAGTAGCAGAAAGGTAAAAACTGAATATCATTATTTTCAGAAAATGATAGGATGCTCTATAGTTCATGTTTTAAAGAAGTCCTGACATTTCATTTTTACAAAACATAATTAAGATTTTTATAAATTGACCTGATTTACCCAGAGTTACACAAGGATCTCCATTCTTCATGTGGTGCTTACTCTCTGCACTTAAAAATCATGCATTAATACAAATTCTTGTTAATGAATATATGTATATTTAACATTGTTCAAAGCACTGAGAAAAATATCAGTGAGCAAAATAAGCAAAACTCTCTGCCCTCCTGAATTTACATTCTAGTGATGAAAGATAGGTAAAAATGAGAAGAATACAGGTCAGGGAGATCAGGGTAGGGGGTAGTATATTCACCTGCTAGGGATACCATGACAAGATATAACAGCCTGAGTGGCTTAAAGAAAAGAGATGTATTGTCTCAGCATTTTGGAGGTTACATGTCTACAATCAAGATGTTGGCAGGCTTGATTTCTTCTCATGGTTGTAAGGGAAGGATATGCTCCAGGCCTTACTCCCAGGTTTGTAGATGCCTGTCTGGCTGTCCTCCTCCTCCTCCTCCTCCTCCTCCTTTTCCTTTTTTTTTTTCTTTTTTTTTTTGAGACAGAGTCTTGCTCTGTCACCCAGGCTGGAGTGCAGTGGTGTGATCACAGTTCACTGCAACCTCCGCCTCCTGGGTTCAAGCAATTCTCCTGTCTCAGCCTCCCAAATAGAGTAGCTGGGGCTATAGCCACACAGCAACACACCCAGCTGTGTTTTGTATTTTTAGTAGAGATGGGGTTTTGCTATGTTGACCAAGCTGGTCTCGTACTCCTAACATGAGGTGATCCACCCGCTTTGTCCTCCCAAAGTGCTGGGATTACAGGCTTGAGCTACTGTGCCCAGCCAGATGGCTGTCTTCTTTCTGTATATTCATTATAGTCTTCCCTTTGTAGCATTCTGTGTTCAAATATCTTCTTACAAGGACACCAGTTATATTGGAATAGGATCCAACCTCAATGACCATATTTTAACTTAATTACTTCATTGAAGATCTCATTTCCAAGTACCGAACATTCTGGAGTACTGGGGATTATGATATCAACATAAAAACTGGGGTATGGGGGGACACAGTTCAGCCGATAACAGCAGAGGGAGTAAAATTAAAATTTTCAATGGAATGATCAAGTTGAATTTTTTTGAAATGGTAACATTTGGGCAAAGGCACAAAATAGATAATTTACAAAACAAAACAATTTAAGTTGCAATTTTGTTTATAATAGTTTAGAATAAAAACTAAATTTAAAATTAATAAAAATCAAGTAAACCTATAACATAAGAAGGAAGTGTTATCTCAGAGAACTCATGAAAAGACCTCAGGAAAGCACCGAGATCAGAAAGCCTGCAGAAACCTAGGCCGGACTGTCTCCCTGTTGATTTTCTCTGTTTCTCTCTCTACAACTGCTTTGTTCTCTTCCTGTAGACACACTCTCTGGGCTTGACAGTTTACATGGTTGATGATGGCTCTCCATGGTCCACAGTCTACAATATCCCATTTTCAGCAGGTTGCAGACATTTATTAACCATTCTTGAATGCTAATTCCAAATTCCAAGGGGAAAAAAGTCTGATTGGCCCAGTTAACTAATGGACAAAGACCTAGGATCATGCAGAACAAAGTTAGCTGGCCATGATCCTTCTCCAAGAAAGAATGCTAAGGGTGTGACTTACGGACTAAGCAAATGCCTCCAACAGTCTATAAAAGACAGTAAAGTTTTCCTCTTCAGATATTGAATATTGCTTTTTATAAAGCTGCAGTGTTTCAGCCCTTTCTATCTACATTTACTTCTCGTTTATTAAAATTTACCAATACTATATAAAATTACTTCAATTGGCTCATCCCTGATGGGGAAAAAGAGAAACCGCACTGGAACGAGAGTCATAAAAAAACCTATGATCTTGAGTGTGCTACTTTTTTTTTCATTTTTGAGACAAAATCTCACTCTGTCGCCAAGGCTAGAGTGCAGTGATGTGATTGATCTCGGCTCACTGCAACCTCCTCCTCTTGGGTTCAAGCGATTCTCCTGCCTCAGCCTCCTGAGTAGCTGGGACTATAGACGCCACCATGCCCAGCTAATCTTTGTACTTTTGGTGGAGACGATGGTTCTCCATGTTGGCCAGGCAGGTCTCGATCTGTTGACCTCGTGATTTGCCTCCCTTGGTCTCACAAAGTGCTGGGATATATGTCTCACCATGCGTTAAAACTCTTCTCTCACTATAGGGTAATTTTTGTTTACTTAAATTTCCAATTACTTATTCAAAATTTATTCCAAAATATGTATATTGATTTCTCATTGTGGTTTAGGGACTCTGATAAGGCAGACCCTCTAAAAGTGGGAGTGGGATGATCTTACTGTGCTTAGGATAATTACTATTTGTAACTTAAAATTCCTGTCTGCTTTATAATAGCCCATATTTATCTCATTAAAGTTTGCAGCAAGATCCTCCTATTAAAGTGAAGCAGAGAAAATGAGGGTAGAAACTGTAAGTTTCTAGAGGACAGGAGCTGAATCTTGTTACCTAAATATGAAGGATTTAACATACTTAAAAATAAATAGATAGTGGTGTTCTGTAGACTATATTCACCATTTTGACATCTCACATGTATAAACAAACTTTAAGGAGAAATGTATTGCTGGATAAACAATAAAGGTGAGAGTTCCTGACAGATTAGTGAAGGTTAAATGAAAGTGAAGATAGGACTGTGAAATAAGAGTATTTTGGTTATTACACACTATTCCTATGATAAAATTTTTTAAATCTCGAAAGATGTACAAGCTCCTTTTACTGGTAAAAGGATTAACAAAAATTTCACATATCACGATTTTTTTTTTTTATTTTATGGCAAATTTCAGCCTCTAACTTCAACATTCCGTTATCCCAAATGTAAGCAAAGCATGAACGGCTCCACAATTTAGGGTTATTAATTAGAATAAAGTTAGCAGTTTGACTACAGAGTTCAGCCTGTTTTCTTGTGATTCTTTAATGCGGTTGACTGCCTGCAAACATTTAAATGATTCCCCTGCCACTGGTCTATGTGTTTAAGCAAATAGACTATTACAAGAACAAAGACCTACTTGGTTTTTCTAATTTGACAGAGGATAAAAGAAGGCTTTCGCAGCTTTGTTTTATTTCTAAACTCATTTAGCACCAAGTGCATATCCACTTTGACTT